CCAAACATGCTGCATGTAACTTGCCTTGCTCACGCGTTACACCGAGTTTGTGAGTTTATCCGTGACAGCTTTCCAGACATTAATTCGTTGATTAGCTGTTTTAAAAAAATTTTGTTAAAAGCACCGTCCCGAGTTTCTTTATATAAAGAAATATGTCCGAATATCCCCCTACCTCCACAACCAGTTATTACACGATGGGGAACTTGGTTACAGGCTGTGTTCTTTTTTTCGGAGCATTTCGACAGACTAAAAGTATTTATTTCCAACTTATCAGAGGACGCTCTCTCTATCACTCAGTGTAAAGGTTTAATAACAAAAACAACTTTGCAGTCGGAGTTAAATTTTCTTGCGACTTATTTTTCGTGTCTCCCAGAAACTATAAAATTCCTTGAAACCCGTAACTTACAATTATCGGTTGCTATGGAAAAATTTGAATCGACATTGTTACACTTAAAAAACGTAAAGTGGCCCTTACAAGATAAATTTAACCATAAAATAGATTGTGTTATTAAAAGAAATCCAAATTTACAGACTCTGAAACAAATCTCCCTGAACAATTTTAACGATTATGAAACTGCTTTAAAATATTGTGATTTTGTTCCACATTTTTCATTTGCTCCTGTAACGAGTTGTGACGTAGAACGATCGTTTTATAGGTTTAAAGATTTATTGACTTCTAAAAGAAGTAATTTCACTGAAGACAATTTAGAAAAATATGCAGTCATACAAACATATTTTTCAAATGAAGAAGATTGATATTAATTTGTATTGTATATATTGTATATAATTGTATATTTGCTACTTTAGGATAAAGAGTGTATATTGGAACACTCTAAACATAAAACTAATGATGGTGTATCCTCGTTGATATATTTATTAGTCAATAATATATTAACAGAAAAAGCCAACAACATTATCCCACAACACAATAAAAAATAAATAATAATATCATTTGTAATTATATAATAATATCCAACCAAATTTGAACTAAAATTTAATAAAATAATTATTGCAATGTAAATGTAATAATAAGCCCGCCCCAAATGTTACGCCCGGGCGATAAAAATCCAATATCTTATCTACTGTGTCGACCAGTTCAGTAAATAACTTGTTTTATTCAGAATGTATTATTCAAATCGAAGGTCCGCTCTTACCGTTACTTCGCTGATAAGAATAAATTAAATTGTCCGGTCTTTACTTATTACTGATGTTTTCTTCCAAGGACACAGAGTAGGATGATTCGATTTCATGTTTATTTAAATTTGTAGTTTAAAAAAAAACCTTTTTTGATAAAATTCACGTTAAAAATAGGGATACAAAGTTCAAAATTCCACCAAACTTTATCCTCTTTGATTTTAATTGTTGAGACATTCTGAAAACTGTATTTACTTATTAGTATCTAGGTAAATGAATATGACAGCAAAAAATACCCAAGCGGAGAACAAAAAACTGGTAAGATCAATAGATCACGATCCAGGCGATTTTTTTTAACTGCTATGGTCATTGGTGAATAGCGCCCACAGATTCAACCTTTCAACGGATAAAAATGATCGTAAAACGCGTTTCACCGACCGAGTTAAAATCACTGGTAACTGTCCGCAATAAAACTCAATCACCGGTAGTGCCAGTGATTATCAAATCACCGGTGAAAAGTAACCGGTAATGATATATCGACCACCTCTAATTATCATACCTGTAAACTCCGGCTCGAGTGGATAGACCTTTTCATCACAATTTTTTTTTTGTGCGCATGCGTCCGTATCTGCCATCTTTTTCGTAGTTTTTGTAAACAAGCATGTTAAAATGCCCAAGTGAAAAAAATTATAATCGATAAATAATAATTTAAGGTAGTTCACTCGTAAAATGGCTTTTCTTAAGAATTTAATAAAATTGAAATATAAGGTTAATAAAAGTGTCTTTTATGTAAATAAAAAAAATTAAATTTTTTGACCATCTGTGAAACGAGATATTAACAATCAAAATGTGCATAATTAACACTCTTGAAGCCTCTCATGTACACAAGTAATGCATTTATTTCCAGATATCTCGAAAACTGTTCTTACCATATTTTTTAAAAACTAATGTAATGTAAATCAAGAAGGTATAAAATTTTCTAAAGAAACGCTAAATTTTTTGACCTTCTTAGTAAAGAGATATAGATTTTTAAAATAAAAATATTTTTAAAGCAATCGACGCGTAGTTGGTAAAATTATTACAACTTGGCAACGTTGTATACGCTGCAATCAACGCGTTGTACCAAACTAACACTCGATCAGCTAAGAGGATGTTATAACCTCGCGACGTTTACTTGAAAACTTAATTCGTCCACTGTATTTGAGAACTGGAATCAGCGGTTCTGTTTGAACCAAAACAAACCCTTAAAATTAATATGAGGCAGTCACAAATTTCTATAGCAAACCATTCATGTATTTATGAGGTTGCCGGATGGATTTTATTAAAATCCATATATATATATAAGATGATATAAGCTTACATGTGTTTTGTACAGTCTCTTACAAAAATAAAATTGATTAGCATTGAGAATCTCGAACTATTGGTATTCACCATTAAGCGATATTTTTATGTACAACTGTCGCGAGTGAACTGAACTACCTTAAGTACTTATAATCATTTAAAAAAGGAATAAAAAGTAAAGTAATAATAAGTTTAGTGTCTTAATTGAAAAATACATTTTTGCAATTATGTTATCTGTATGGAAAGGAACAACGGAACGGTGTTGTTATGTAAAAGTGACACACTGTATATTCATTCAAAGGCAATACATATTATTTTATAAAATTTCCAAAGCCTTGGCTGCAATATCGTAAAAAATTATCAGGCAAATTCCATATTAAAACATGTTCAAAATGTGCATTAGGTGTAAAAAAATGTGGTCGAAGTGACAACGGTTTTCGATGGATTAATGATGTTACTAAAGATAGTTATATTTGTTCACTGCATTTTTAAGGAAAACTTCGGTTTACATAGTAATATGATTAAAAATGTCATGTTGATCCTCAAAAATTAAATAATTTATTTTATAAATTATACTCGTGATTAACTTTCATGTTAATTAAAGTGTTTTTGCAAGTAATAATAATTGGTTGGCATAATTAATTAGAATAGAGTTATAATTATTATTTGTTTTCATTATTTTTTTACACAGTTAAGAAGTATTGATACACCTAACCTCTCAATCAGTCCACTATGTTCCTTTGTAACAAACGTCCAAGAGTCCATAGAGTTTTAAAAAAGTTAATCACCATCAACGATTTTTTCTAATGATTAATTTTTCTGTAGAGATAATCTTGCTTTCCCAGCCATTGTCGATCAAAACAGTACGAATCTTTTGAATTACCGCTATTTCAACATGGTGGCTTCGCTTGCGCTCATCACATGATGAAAAGGTCTATAGGTAAATGTCATTTGACATTTAATTTAATTATTAAAATAATTTTCTGTTCATGTCAGGGCTGGTACCAGCCCTGGTTCATGTTACTTAATTTAAGGGTATGGTCCGTTATTAACAAATATCGGTTAGGTCCAAAATTAACCGCTCTGCTTGACAGTCCTGAAAAATCGGTTAAATTAGGGACGCGGTTACCTGAAAATGGGGACTCAAACGTCAATTCACTAACCGCTGTATTTTTACGGTTACTATTAAATCGAATGTCCATCTGTCACAAAAGTGACGTAAACACATACTTTGATTTTCTCTTACTATACGGAGAATGGACACACTGCGCAAGCTTTCTGAGTGCCTTTTAAAAGCAGATAGAAAACTCCGCCATGTTGATGCCTTATTACGTGTGGCCTACATCTTGGCGCAATATTTTTAATAGGTGCGTTTTAATCATCCGCTTCTGCTTTGGAATTGTCGGTTTTCTTGTTTTAATATGACAGGTTAAAACGACTAAACCGACAATTCCGGAAGCAGAAGCGGATGATTAAAACGCACCTGATATTTTGCTTGCTGCTGTCAGTGAATATTATTTTTGGAGTCACAGTTTATTGCTAAAGAATCAGTTAGCTCACTCGGACCAGTTGAAAGTTTCAAAATAACATCCACTTCGGGGATACAAATTCAGGATGCGCAGAAGAGTGCTGTTTTATTATAGGCGTTGTCATATATTGTATTATCCGAGTTGCGCAGTATATAAACTGGAACATTGAGATCAAAAGTGCCGACGAAGAGTGAGCGAACTGATTCTTTAGCTATAAACTGTGGTAAAGACAGCAAAATGGCCGCGCCCTATGTTGGGCGTGTCGGACCTCTCTCTTGCACCGTATAGTAATCAAAGTATGTGGACGTAAATCTCGGCCGTGGTCCAAAAGTAACCAAGAAATTAGTTTTTTCAGAAACCGCTGTCAAAAATTCCTTGTTACTAGCGGTTAGCAGTCGGTTAATAACGGACCATACCCTAAGTAAACTTGTAAACAATTTCATTAATTTGACAATTCAACATAAAATCTGACATAATCTAATCTTATTTATTGAAGCGGTTACCTAACAACCTTTATATGCACGGCGTGCGATAACGACCCGATTATGCACGCTTTTGGTTTTGTTTGGGATGGTTTATGATACATGAATACTAAAAAGAATTTTAATCGTTTACGAAATTTTTTCTATAGTTTATTGATATATGGATAGTCTAGTCCAAAATAGTTGTGATGTCTACAAGCTTTTTGTAAAATTTCAATAGTAATATCCGCCCTTCATGTTTCATGGTATATTACCAATAATAATAATAAAATACTCTCCCTAACTATAATTCACCTCCGTGGGAGTGAATTTTAACCCCTGAAGCTGATTGAGCTTGTGTGGAAAAGGGACGACTATTAATATTTTCCGTGGCGCTCCAGGGCGACTTAAAGATGATTGATGGTTGACTTACAGGTGAGGAAAACCTCATCCCCCATAAGATGAGGCAACATTTCATCTGAAAATCTAACTGCATATAAACCGACAACTATATGACAATAAAATAAAACTATTTTTGGTAATGAGAAATGTTTAATTCGTCAATAAATCTAAAACAATGATTTTATGCATAATAAAATATTTCATAATAAAAAGGAACCCCAAAGTCAAAATTCTATTTTTTATATAATACACGTTTAAATCGCTACAAGACTCCATAGGGTCTCTGGTATATACATATTTTGATATATATCTTATGTACAATTAAAAAATAAATAAATAAAAATATTAATACGTACAATAAACTTCTTTTACGAGATTATTTCTCTAAAAACACTTAGGTAGGTAGGTAATCTTACATGCAATGTATTCAGTGTATCTCCCGAGTTAAAAAAATATGGACATCCCAAATAATTATGAAATTCTAAGAAAAGTTGCACATTATAAGTTTTTCATAATCTGCTAAATTTAAATTCGTATTTTTTAGTAATAGGTAGATCTTTTTATTAAAAACAAACTTTTAATTGTGAAAGTCCATATTTTTTTGATTCAGGTTCCAATAAAAACAAAGTAAAAAGTGCCTTATAGTATTCTGTTTATGTTTTCTTTTCTGTGCTAAAATTATGTTATTACCAAATTACTGAGGTAAGAAAATTTCAGGTAGGAAATATTCCAAGTCCTTTTTATAAGCATGAGTTTATTTTATAGAGAATTATTAATTATACGTTAAAGATTGATCAGTAACCACACTTTTAGGTAATCGACTGATTACAAAGTATCAAATATTCGGGAAAAAATTAATTTATGGCTAGTTTTAACCTATTTATAGTAAATGTGGAATGCTAGCTGAAAACGAGAGCGTCGATGATAGGTCATTCCCTTGATTCCAATGTTTATTATTCCTAATATTTACCTCTTCTAACTGAACATTAACCTTAAGCTCTCCTAAGTATCATGCACTAGTGCAATAAAATACGTTTATTTCACTGTAAAACAGCTTTAAAAGTATCGTTTCTTGCACAAACATTGGAAAAATATTTTAGGACAATTTGAAAAACAATTATTACTGTACCCTAGACGAAAATTGATATTTTCTATGATTTTTGGCACTTTACCAATATTTATCTTTATGGTATTATCTATTAATTAAAAAAAAGTATATATTACGATTGCATGTATGTAGCATTATTAAATTTAAAATATATAATTAGAATGTGATGGATAAAAATATATCTATAATTTTAGACAAATTAGATACAATGTGTGTCAAAAGTTGGTTTTACGTTGAATAAAATTTTGATTATGAACTGAAATATTTCTCACTCTTGCTTCTAAAGCCACACAACATAAAATTCACAACATCTTTTAAGTTATTACCATGAATGTGATTAGCAAACAACCCTAAACCAATCCTCAAAATTAGAAGAGACTCGTCTAAATGGCATTGTCATTTTTGAGGTTTTGATATAGATTTTTTTCACTAATTCCATTAAATCAAAAAGATTTGAATTTTGAGTTGTGTCACTTTTGAAGTAAGGATGTGATTTATTTGCAGTGCGAGGATCAGTCTTACTCTGTTCTGTTAAAACGTCAAATATAAGCATATTATGGAGTCACTCTTCAAATTACAAGATAAATATACTGGGTGTTTTTGTTATTATGTGCCAACATTACTATATTTTAAACCATAACATCGAAACGTCAGGTCTAGAAATGAGAAGCAGTTGTACAAAATGTGCGACGCACTTTAATGTGTGGTGTAAAATTTTACTGTACGGGTAGTACAATCTACCATTACATGGGCATTACACTACGTGTGAATATAATACGAAAATATGTACGTACGATTACAGTTGTTATTACAGTACTGACCTGGGCATCGCTGACTTGATGTCGCTCGATCTAGTCGTAGAATTGAACTTGTAATGTACGACACAATTTGGTGTAGGTGTACTGTACGGAATGTACTAATTGCTTATAACTATTCAGGTCGATGATTTAATGGTACGCCGTTATAGCAAATTTTGTAGCAAATATACTTTTTATTTTCCATTTTTTGATATTATTTTAAATACAGTTTTTTTCACAAAAACAAAAGTTACATTATTGGTTTTTACTATATAACTCGACAATGACAATGACTGTGACTGTAGAATGACTAGAATTTTTTTCAACCAATGTAATATTACACAAAATTTTCCACTTTTTCCTATTTAATCATCTTCGTAATTTTTACGGTTTAGAATATAGCAATATCGGCACATGATAAAAGAAACTGCCTTAGTACTTAAGCTACGCTTTGTTAGGACAGTGTTCGACGCAAAACTCACAGTCTAATGAGCGCTTGCCCACGGTGGCTGAAATCCAGCGTTGTTATGAAAGGATGTTAAAAATGTACTACTAAAGAAGAAGAAAAAACAAAGGTAAGTCAAGAAGAGTGAAATCACATAACGGTGATTTATATTATTGTACCCACCGCATAACACCGCACTTTAAATACACAATCATTTCTAACATCTTTATGCTTCATTACTGACTTATGTGATTTTACATAGTCATGTGTTTGTAGTTATTGAGGCTGAATTTAAGTTAATAAAAATATTTAACTTGACTTATGTGCTTATTCCCACCATACGCAGATTTAAAAACAATTCTTCTTCGTCTTCTTCCATTAAAATATTCGCTACCTACGCGTTATTTAATTCATGGGAACTCATTTTCGTCTGCATGTATCAACAGAACAGGTTGAACTGATATATATTGTAACAAACAACTTCTACTAAAACTGACGTGAGTCGAACGCGACAGATTCTGCCGTACGCGTACGTCGCGCACTGTTCTAAAAGACCGTAGCTTTAGGTGATCACAGCTCGCTCGCGCTATATCACTGAGTACGACATATAGTTTAGGTATGCCGTCAATCAAAGAAGACGTAAAATCGTAAGTCCATAATCCATAGATGCTGGGCTTGGTAAAGATACGTACCTCTTTTAGGAATGTTTAATTTTATGTTATTGACAAATCTCTACACTAAGAAAAATGAACTAATTGCTGATGTAACTATTACTACTACTAGATTATTATCGAAGTTTTCAAATCATTCGAGCTATTTTTATGAAACGGCAAAGGAAAACGTTAAGACTTGATCCTCTTTAAGTTATTAAAATAGTTCCGTATAATTTTAAAAGAAAAACAAAATTTTAGCTAGGCCGTGGTTTTCACTATAATGACGATAATTATCCTGTAAAAAGTTATACAAAAATATGACATTTGGGGATATATTTCGTTTTAAATATATTTAGACACACGGTGTACCTAATTTGCATATTTTATATACTTTTGATAATAATTCTTTTCTAACATCAATTAAAATCTCTGAGCGATTAGTTAAGTCGATTTCTTTATCTACGGATTATACGAAACAGGGTGATCCAAAAAAGTTAATAATTCTTTTAAAATAACTATACAGGATCAAAAATAAAACAATTTTTTTCAGCCACTTACTGTAGGTATATATTATTTTAAAAATATACTATATTGTAAGATTTTGTACACACCAAATCGATATTCGCCCCACATTTGTAGCTTTTTATTTAAAAACGATATTTTTGTCTCTTGGATCGCCCTGTGAATAAACAGTGTATGTCACGATAAAAAGCTATACACTTTATTTTCAGATACTGAAAATGTTCAAAATTCAAAACGCACTTTCGTTCTAACATAAGTGCTACTGTGGTCGTCTAAAAAATTCAAAATTTGGTTCAAACTGTTTAGCAAATATCGTGATATAATCTGCCATTTAGGTCTTTATTTATATATGTATATTATATACACAATCGAGTTACTAGATATACATAACTATAAACAGATAGTTTGAACATTTTTTACGATTATACATTTAAAATATATACAGTCATTATTGCCGTCTCATTTTATCAAGTCCCCCTTACGTTTCCTGTATATTTTATTACTTTTTTATAGAGGAAAGTATCACTTTTACATGGATATAAAGCTTGATTAATTTTTAAAACTTTATACGGTAAGTACCGATTCTCACGTGGGCTCTTTTCGTAAAATTAACAATTTGGAATTTTAAAATGAATACAAAAAATATTCATGTTTATTTGAAAAGATGCAGAATTAAAGCTGTTGATACTAATTTTGTGTTATTCTCAGCATTAGCGAAGCCTAAATCTTAAATTTATACTGTTCGATATCATCACTAATCGTTTAAGTTATTTAAGATTTAGAAAGTCAATGTGTACAGTGCTGGAAAAGGAAGAATATTAAACTAAGTTTGTAAGTGTAAATTAATCGGCGCAGTGGACTCTGAAACTCGCTTCATTCGGCGACCACAGAGTCGAGCATTTGTGACTCGGGGTCATAATCATGGGTGGTTACCTCTAAGGATGGAATTAGCGTTTAACCCTGAGAAGGTTTCAAGTCGACAGAATATATGTCTATATCAACAATAGAACTATTTAATCCGAGATGTGAATTTTTTATCACGTGATAGAGGATTATATCTAAATGTAGATGTAATAAACACTCTAAGAGTTTATTGGTCACGTGATAAAATAACAATGACAAGTTGGAAATTTATATTATTTAAATTTGACTTTTGAGACTAGAAATCAACATAATTTTGAAATCTAAACAAAAATTAAACACACTAATCACTTTTATATTCACGCTAGCATAAACAAAGGATAAATCGATAAACTTAGCTTTACAGAACACCTACTTTCTGGCATGGAACGAACATCTCATTCAGATCTCATTTCAAATCGAGATGTAAAAAAATGTAATCTGGACAGCTACATCTCGGATAAACAAACGCAGATGTAGATGTGTCCGATGAGGATAAACAAACGCTTGAGATGTAAAAAAATGCATCGGATGTGGATATTAGGGATGCGCAAATTTTTTAAAACCGATGTTGACAACAAATGATACATCGAATGCAGACTATCGATGTTGTAAAAAAACCGGAAAAGAAAATATCGATTTTTCTAAATATCTTCCATACATCGATGTGTCTGTAAACATCGATGTTTGCCAAAAGCGTTCATTGAAGAGCAAAAAAAAAGAAAAAAAGGAATTCAAACCATCAAATGAAACGTGTCGCTTGACAAAAAAACAAAAAACATTGAAAAATCATCGATGTTTATTGAAAAATCGATGTTAACTAATAACATCGGATTACAAAACATCGATGTTGAACATCGATAATCGAAACCTAAACATTGATACATCGTGCTCATCCCTAATGGATATTCAAACGCAGCAAATGACAGCTAATCAAATTGAATAAGAATTGAACGATATCTAGGATAAAAGAGAATACAATTTCACCAAAGTTATAAATTAAAGCTCTTGAAAGTATATTTAAGACATTCGGCTGCAAAAAATTAACAGTAATAAAATGGCGAATATTTTTCTATTTAGAATATTTTTACTAATTTACGATTTGCTAATGCCAGAAGAAATGGACGATTTGGTGTTAGATCTACTGTAAGATTCCATAGCCCGTGATCTCAAGGTGAAAATTGCCAAAACAAATGATGTCAAACATTGGTCAACTACTAATTCTCACTTGATAATCGAGAAACAGTCAAGGTAATTCAAGAGTACATCTATCTAAGATATGAAATATATAAATAAGATAGTAAAGAATCAGAAGTTGCAAGGATCAGGTGCAGTTGCAATTGAAGGGTTTCGAAAAATTACTCTCACTCTTAAATTTTAAGTCTAAAAATCTACAATATCTAAAAATACATGTTTTCAAACAATGCGTTCTACCAACATTGAAGTATCCTGATAATAAGCCTTTAAAACTGATGAAGCTAATCTTTTAAAATAAAACCATTAGAGAAATAGTTAAATTTTTCCAGAAAGACAAAAAATAATTATATGTCGATAAATACTAATAATGGCATATATTGAGCATAATATGTTTTGGTTTCTCCAAATTGAGAAACACAAACGATTAGGTAATTATATTTTTTTATATTCAATAGTCATCAAATTGTTAATTCCAAGAAAATCTTGCGATATCAGTCTGCAGTAATTTTAATCACATATTTAACAGGAAAATTACTTTTCGGAAACTAATAATAGAAAAATCAGTTCGAATTTGGGCTGTACCCGAACTTATGCAAAATGGCGTTTTCTAGCACCCCTTTACCCACGCAGCTGGCACCCACTGAGGTTCCCGTTCTAAACTATTAATTTCATTAAGTAATTGGTGATACGCCCTTTCTGTATCATTATTTATTATAATAAGATCAAAAAAGTGACCGTATTTTTCTTCCATGGCTCTGGCTTTTTCAATGGTATCTTTCAGTTCTTCTTCCTGTAAAATAAAAATATATATAAGTAACACGCGGAGGAAATGATTAAGATATTAATGTGCAACCCATTTTATTTGGTTTTCAAAGCTTGAAACCCTTAAAAAATTAAGAATTGCCATTAAAATTTATTGTAAAAGAAGAAAATACTGTAGATTCATGCACATAATTTGAAAAATACATTTTTACACATGCCCGGCGCCCTGCTAGTTTGGTCGGTGTAGACATGAGAATTTAATTTCAATGCCCCACGTTGGGCGCCAATTTGAAAATCGATTTATACCTCTGGGCGACTTGTAAACCAACAGGATTTTTGAAGAGCTTCGAGGCAGGTCCTATATGCCCCTAAGGATCAGGGAAAACTCACCTTCCCCATCTTACAAATACGTATATACTCTGTTCGCTAGCAATGCGAACTGATAAAAACTTCGAGTCAATGGCGTGCGCAAACCATTTAATATTAATTATTAAGGGATATGCATATAAGTTTTATTAAATATACAGGGTGTTTCAGAATAAAGTACGGTAAACTAATTATTAAGAAGACCTTTAATGATTAAATTAAATTGATATAGAATCCATAATTATTAATTATCTGGTTATTAAAACATAGAACAATCGAGGAAACATGATAAAAGATAGAACTATACCATTTTAGAACAGATACTAATGACATGTGCAGCGAGAGGATGGATCGTTATATCCTCTTCTGCGGAAGCTGGTGGTGGATGGGCTATTTTAAAAGATAATGGGCCGACGAAATAGCGATCGTGGCACAAAGCAAATATAATAATACTTCAGTTTGAAAACCTTAAACAAGAAGCTAAAATCAAGTAACAAAATGGGTAAAAACGGAAGGAGCAAATATTAGTCCCAACAAATCTACCATTACTGCATTCACCCGTAGAGGAAAACTGGAGGGATAAGGACCATTAAATCTACTAGAATTAGGTCTGTAAAGAACAATACAGAGAACGAATAATATGACTACAATAACGTGACATGGAAAATGGGGTTTAAAAACAGACATGGTTAACTTGTTTTAACCTGATGGCGAAACCACTTAAACGCTCCTTTGATGTGGTGACCAATGACACAGCAAATGGAGGATGAAGGCAATAACGAGACTAAGCAAAATGTAAAATATAGAAAATATGGGAGCAATAAAAACAACCCCCACAAGCATTAATGCACATGTGATACAAAAATAGTATGGAATAGTAACTACAATATTCTCGATTTTACTGTAATGTACTTGCCTTATAAGATTCACCATTTCTAATTTTCTTTTGCCTTAATTTTTCAAGACTAGGTGGCGCTACGAACACTACATATGGCTTCAAGTCCGAAGTTCTCAGTATCTTCAAACTCTGCGGATGCAAATTCAACACGCATATTTTTCCAGAAGTCACTACGGACCTTATTGCGTCTAGGGATGTACCGTAGTAGGATTTTTCGTATTCCCCGTGTTCCACGAACTTTCTGGAAAGAATATCGGCTTCGAATTGGGCTCGCGTGATGAAATGATAATCCTGGCCGTCGACTTCGTTTTCTTTACGGGCTCGGGAAGTATCTGGAAAAAATGGTTTTTACAATTTTTTTACTAGGTTTTCTTAATAGTTGAATATATTACAATATTTCTAAAATAGAAGGATCTTCTAGTTGAAGTTTTAAAACGTAGGTATATACAGGTTGTTAGTGGCGGCGCGGCGATAAATTGTTTTTCGCCCGCACGAATTGACTATGTACTACCCTTCAAATAAACTTTCTTTTCTGTTGAAAAAATCTCAATATCATTTAAGTCCTCTGTTTTATTTTCTTGTTAATTTTTGTTGTGATTTTCTGATTTATTTTTTCTTATACTAAAAATGTCGAAAAAACCGTTTTTAATAATAACAAAAAATGTGTACAATTGTAGATCATTATTTCATTACAAATTCATACAACTGCTCTTGTTCAAAGTAACGGTCGCCCATCTGAATACACGTCTGTAACTTTCTTACATTTTTCTTAAAAATTGCGTAAAATTATTTGCCAAATTTCACTTTTATCAGAGCCTTCCTAAGTAACATTTTGATATTTTATAAAAGCTGAAATAATGTTGTTTAAAAATTATAAGCATTTTTTAACAGATACTTCGGTTACTCTCTTTATGATCCACCGCGTATAAATAATTTATAGTAAACATAAGAACAACAATATATTTTATTATTCAATCTGTACAGGCATCGCAACCTAATTTGTCTGATGAGGGGATGCGCGTTAATCTCGAATTTCAATTGTTAACGCCTACTGTAACTGTTAAAAAGAGATGCAAACAATAATCGTGTTGTCGGGGGTGATCAGTAGATGATAATATTTTCTTGAATTTGTGTTTGTGTAGCGTGCAGATTTTGAGTTATATTTTATTTTTATTTGTTTGTAGTGTTTTCTTTTGAGTAGTAACTTACTTGTGTTAAAATGCCGAAACATTTAGGTAGGAAATAATATTTCATCTGTTCGAATATTTTATGAAAAAAAAAAATGTTCCGCGGCAACAAATAGTTTAAAAAAAAAACAAAGATGATAGTGAAACTTATAAACAATGTGTTGTAAACGATGATCCCAAAACTCTCACTGAAATTAAAAAACAAGTTGCTGAAGCTACAGGATACTCGGTAAAAACTATTGAACGAATAATTATAGAAGGTGAGATATCAAAAGGTGAAAAGTCTAGGTCGACCATACCTAAACAATTGTTTAAAAGTCTAAAAAAGCGCAAAAGAACATCAAGTGTAACATATATGCCATCCTACAATATTGGAACAATCAGAGATATAGTTCATAGATTTCACGAAACAGAAGATATGCGCGTAACAGTCAAAACTCTTAGTGAAAAATTAAAAAAGGAAATTGAGTGGAAAGGGAGCTACACATCATTAAGAACTATTTTAAAAAACTGGGTTCAAGTGGCGAAAAACGCGAAACAACAGACAGGTTCTAACAGAACGGTTTGACATTAGGGAAAAAAGAATAGATTATATTAAAAAAATTGGATATTTTCGTTCTCAAAACCGTCCCATTGTATATATTGATGAAACTTATATACATAGTAGCCATACATCATCACATAATTGGGGTGATGATAATGCAAAAGGTTTGTTTTCCACCATTTCGAAAGGAAAGAGACTTATTATAGTTTATGCTGGTGGTAACATGGGCTTTATTCCTAACAGTTTATTAATGTTTGTGTCTGGGGCCAAATCTGGTGAATATCATAATGATATGAATCAAGAAAATTATGAAAAGTGGCTAAGAGAACTGTTAATACCAAATTTAGTTGTGGATATTGCACCGTATCACAATGTTATAAAAAATCTTGCTCCGAATTCAAATTCAAGAAAAGCTGAAATGATAAACTGGTTGACTTCCAACAATATTGAATTTCTACCTTCCTTATTACGACCACAGCTGTACACATTAATCAAACAGCATAAAAATAGATTCAAGCAATACAAATTTGATAGATTATTCTCCGAACACGATCATACAGTTTTGAGATTACCACCATACCACCCAGACTTAAATCCAATAGAAATTATCTGGGTTGTAGTAAAAAATATTGTAGCTATAAAGATTATTCATTTTAAATTAGCACAATTTAAATCAGTAACCCAAGAAGACTGGAAAAAAAGATATGCATATGTAATAGCTGTCGAAGATAAATATTTAGATCGCGAAATTATAATGGATGACGTTGTAATTCCTACAGTTATTATTAATGTTCTAGTTCTAGTGATAGTGATGATTTTGATGACGATTTTTTAGAACTCTGTTAATTTGTTTATTTTGTTTGATAGTAGTTATAGCAACAAGGAATAGAGGTTAGTATAAATTCAGTATTTGTTGACCTATAACATATTTTTTAAAAATCCTCGCTGTCTTATTTTAATATTTGTATGCTGATGACTTTCACCACTTCTCACATTTTGTTAAAATATTAAAGATATCAAGTGCAAAATCACCATTTTTTTTCACCCAATAAATTTGTTTAACAGAATACATTTTAGCTCATAGATAACAAATAAATTTTAACAAATTCTGTAATACTTAAAAACCTATGTACATAATTGCGTTTGATCCATTGTGTAGGTAATGTGGTATTTCCGATAATACCATCAAATGATAGCCACTGTTGATAAAACATTCTTAGAAACGAGGGCGGACTCGATTTGACCATTATTAAGGATTAAAATTTTAGGTAATTTTCTTAAAATTTTTTGATTAATCTAAGCGTGATCGTTTTAAAAATCCTGGAAAATTTATTTCTAAGAATGCCGTTTAACGGATTTCGAGTTCTAAGTAAACCATACTTTGCACACTTGCAGCATATTTACTATTATTTTGGCGCGCAGAATATAGTTTTCTCACTCATAGAAAATTTTTAGTAATTTAAATACAAGTGTCAACTCTCTCATGCTTGTAAATCTATCTTAGTGGCTCTAGTATGGGTAAAGTTAAAATAAATCGTTAAAAACAAATATAAATAGTTACAACATATACTTGTACGCACTAATCTGATAAACTCTCTCACCACGTTCTTAATAACCAATCACAAGACAGTGTCCAAACATATGATCCGTTACCTATACCAATCACAACAGTAGCACAAAAATATTAACCTTTCCACACGACACTCAATTCATGATCCAGGAGGAGACTTATTTCAACCTCCACCAGAGCAACACCTTTTGTTTTATTTTTTTACGTACACGTCGTTTCTATATGAAACAAATAAAAGATATGTTTCAAACCTACATGTTCGTTATAAAATTTTAAACAATTATGTAAAACTGTTATGTGATCCAATGATAGTGTTATAAATAATTTAAGTTAGCAGAAGTAATTATTTAATTTCAACATTCCAAAGCGAGTTATTAAGCAGTCCACCAATAAAATCATACATTCTACAAGTTCTACAAATATACAGTCCATCTCCCTTCCCTGTAACAGGAAGAAATCCTTAAGTGGGTGACGAAAAAAAAAAAAAAAATCGACGTCAGATCAAATGTTTACAAAACAAAATTTATAAAACAAAATATTAGCTAAAAACATTTCTGGAACATTCTTTTAACAGTAATAAACACAAAATGTGCCTAGTAACTATTTGGTTCATTTGTGAATTGTATAAGGTTTGTTAAACGCAGCTACCAGATAGTTTTACTTACACATTTACACAAACTTTAGAAAAATAATTTATTTATATTTTTAAAAATATTCAATTTTGAGGTTATGTTGAATATCAAAATCGGTAAAATTTTAGTTTTTTTAAATGTATCTGGTAACTAAAATCGCCATGCATTACCGTCTCGATGATGGTGGGTGAGGTTTTCCGGGTTTTCCTCACCTGTAAGTCAAATGGCACCATCAATCATCTTTAAGTCGCCCCGGAGCGCCACGGCAAATAATAATAATAGCCGTCCCTTCCCCTACACAAGTCGTTCAGTCGACTTCAGGGGTTGAAATTCACTCGTAAGGGGGCGAATTAGGGAGAGTATTATTATTATTATTATTGTTATAACTACCTAACGCGGTTTAGTCATAATTGCTGCGTTTGTTTATCCACATCGGATGCATCTGATGAATCGTTGATCACGTGATTCAAGATACGTAAATGTAGTATAGCAGGAGCAGAAGTTGGAAAGGCTTTTTAAAGTTCTCCACTTCGTACACAGAAATTGACAGTTTTGCAACGAAGCTAACCGAAGTGGACGTGATACATTGGCGTACAAAATTATTTTATAGATGTCAATAACAATTTCGGGTAAATAGTTTAATAAATTGTGAATAGTTGTGGAAATTTTGTAGAATTATGATTTGAGATATTATAATACTTGTTTAATAACACCGACACACAAAAAAAAGTTGTTTGTACATCAGACACGACCTACCTACCGGCATGAATTTTGACCCGCTGAATCCGAATTTCAAGTCAGTTTGGGCCGTCCACCCTTCAATATCCACCCTTGCAATATCTCTAAAAACTGATGTATGAACTGAATGAGGCGAAATATTTTCTCAGACTGTTTTTTGTTGGTATCAAACTTTTTTGTTCTCAAATGACCTCCGCAGTATTCAGCGGATCGAAATACATAAGAATTATGCTTGGTTTCGATTCATACATTTTTTTTATTACTAATTATCTTAGTTTTACTATTTTTACAATTTACTCGATATTGAAGGGTGGACGGCCCAAACTGACTTGAAATTCGGATTCAGCGGGTCAAAATACATGCCGGTACGTAGGTCGTGTCTGATGTACAAACAACTTTTTTTTGTGTGCTGGTGAAATTATTTCTAATCCATAAATACATCCGATTGTCCGGTTTCGCCGGTAACAATTTAAAATAACTTATTCTATGAAACACCACTGGCAGATAAACATTACAGCGAAAGTCTCGAAGTCACCCAACCTAACCTACCAATAGCCTTTCCAACTTCTGCCCCTGCTATTCGCTCAGTGCGAAGTCATGGTAGGTGAAGCAAAAGCGATACTAGCGCTAGCTGCGGGCAATTCGTGCATTTTAGGGCGATATTTTGTAATTAGGCATACGTTAGTTCAGTGATGATGTAATTATGGTTCCACTGACAATTAAAGTGACAGTAGATTTTTTGAGTGCGTTCTGTTCGTTTTGTTTACCTACATATTATCGTTTTTTCACTTTTATAAATATATTCCTAAAGTAAGTAGATAACATGCATCAAATATACAATTGTTTAGTTACCAATTACATACCTTTAAACTATTTTTTATAACCTGTAAACAATATTTAGAGATATACTAAAAACAGTAAAAACGTATATGTCAAATTTATTGATGTTTTTGTTTAAAGTTTGGTTAGAATTAAATGTCAGTGGAACCAAAATGACATCACACCGAACTAGCGTATTCCAACGACCTGTCAAACGGCTGACAAGTGGGAAACATTTAGCTATGACAACCCTGTGAGTCTGTTGTCATTGAAAGCGGGTCGTTTACGAGCGGCCATATTGCCTTGCAAGTGCTCATTAATCAGAATCGATTTTGCAAAAATTTGTTTACAAACCAATATTTAGTCCTTGAATATAGTAAAAAAATAATTACCTACATTTTTACTTCAAGGCATAAGCTTATGTTTATTTTGAAAAATATGGATGATCAATCTATGTAACTATCTATTTCATTGACCTTGTCAAATCACCAGGCCTATGTGCCGCGTAAATATCCACATCGGATGCATCTGAGATGTAGTGAAATTTTTATCACGTGATAGAGGATTATATCTGAATGTAGATTGTAGATGTAATAAACAAACGCTCTTGTCTTTGACAAAAATTAAATTTATGCATTTCGCTTTTTTAATAATAAGTTTATGCTAATATTACTAATGATAAAAAATTATTTCATTAACTTTGGTTATGTCTTACAAACTAGTAAAACCGACAGAAGATTTAGCTTTAGAACTGTCTTGGATTTTTGTTAAATATGGCGGCAATTAGGAAATTCTTTTAAGATAATAAAATATTGCAATAAAAATAACTGTATTGCAATAAGTAAGTTGTATCAGTCATTCCGATAAAACAAGTTTAGTCAGGCCATCTTCATCATGGTATGTTGATCTAAATACAATGGTTGTATCAAGTTTTAAATTGCTGCCCTATATGACTCAAACATAACATAACCTTACTAAATCGTTTGCAATTTAAATTTATTAAAATTAAAATGATTAGGATTGTTTCTGCAATTTTATAGAGCATCGTCGGCGTAACTCCCTGCCTTGTTATTGCCTGTGCGTACACTGACGTCGAAAGCTACGAGATATTCTGCCGACTGTACCTGAGAATTGGGTAAAATCCTCGCCATTGGCAGCAGTGTTCCCATAAATACATTAGCGAACGTAGTTTATTTTCACGGGAATGAAACACTGCATGTCATCCACAGTGGGTTGAGTTACTTCCACCTTTAAAGATGTATTTGACTTAAAAAAAAGTGAACTTACGTGGTATGGCAGCAGCAAATCTTTCACTATCTTCCATTAATCTTTGCCTCAGTTCATGCCTGCCTATATTGGGCGGGCCAATTAACACAATCGGCCTTTTATTGTTGGCTCGTGGGTAATACAAAGATACTTCTTCGTATGTCAAAATTTCGTCGGGATCATACTCGTCAACGTTGTTGGCGTACATCGGGTAACCACCGTCGGCATATGCTCCTTTCTTCTTTTTTCGTTTGTTCGTTTTACCACAAAGTAGGGTTGTTGATTTTCTTTGAGGTTTAGACATTCGTTCCTCGGCTGCTAACCTCATGTTTTCTCGTTGGTGTTGGAATGATTGTGAAGGTACCAGGCCTAGGAAAAGAAGAAATGTTGAACAATAATTTTGGGTCAGCTTAATTGGGCTTTTGATTAACTTTGTTTTATTAAATACATCAAGGTTGACAAATTTTATAATACCTATTTAATGGCAAACAATAAGAAACAACAATGAACTAAAATACAACAAACTACTTATTGATATTTATTATTCGCGAATTTAATATCCGGCTTTATCTGACATTTATTTATATTGGTGACAGTTGTTTACCCCGTAATCACAGTAACAATATATTTACTTGATTATTCTGAGAAAACCGCGCGCTTGGTAATTTGTCGTTAAATGTAATATTTTAGGTATGCTCAGAAAGAAACAGAGATTTATTAACTTTGATCGAAATATGATGGTTGTAAATAAAATAGTATACAAACCATTTAATACTTATTTTGTTGTTGTTACAGTTATTTAGCAAATGTGATGCACTGTATCTTTCCAATTTTTACAGATACTCATATTAAGCCCAGAATGGACGAATTCGGAAAAACAAGTTTCATTAAAATTTTCAGATAAATTCGTGTCTCAGATTTTCAATGAAAGAAGTTGTGGGTACTTTCGGTTAAATCGGAAGTACAATAACAACATTAGATCCATTATGTGTAATGAAGTCATTATTCATTACTATATTCTTAAGTCAATAAATGATTCCCGTCGCGCGAAATGTGTATCGATGTTTTATCAGGTCTCTTCGGTGCGCGAACTTAGATCTCTGAGTGATGTGCGGTAGTCCTGGCTTTTGGGGACTAACTTTTGATTCAGCGCACGAGAGAAGATTCATTATTCAACATTTATTTCACGAAGACCGCTGTAGTTAGACCGAAAACATGCTAGCTCCGAGTTTGATTTTTAGATCGTTCTTCAAGGTAAACACCATTGTTTACATTCTAAAGTTCTTATCGTAGATACAGATTTTTATTTAATTTCACCGCTGTTTAAAAGCCGTTTTATTTTATCGTGAAGAACATTTTTGTAAAATATTTCGCGTTTTTCGAATATTGACTTAGTTTTTTTTTACGTAATACTGTGATTTTAAAATATAATTAGATTGAATACACTTTAAAACTAATAAATTCTTTTAGTTGAGAGTTTAGGTTAGGTTGAAAATGAATGGGATGATCTCATCGCCTTCCACTGCGACCCAGACAGGTTTATTGTGGCATATGACTAACTTATAGTTCACTATACAAGCCACACCTTTTGATGAAGGTCATGGTTGAATTGGGCGAGACATGTTTAAAGTCGGTAAGCTCCAGTCGGGTAAATCCGAAAAACTGGAGCTTGGTTCTTTCCAGAGCGGAGCAGGTACATAGAATGTGCTCTGCAGACTAGTCCGCCACGCTGCAGAATCGACAGTCCGATGTTTGTTGCAGACCTATCCTTCTCATGTGGTTGCCCAGACGGCAATGTCCTGTCATCAGTCCAGTGAAAATGCGTAGATCTTTCCTACTCCATTCTCGGATCTGAGCAGAGGCGTTCATAGAAGGGTTGGTTATAAACGCCTTCGAATGGGTCAGCCCTGGGGTATCTCTCCAGTTCGTGAGTGTTGCACCCTCCGTCCATTTTGAGATAGTTCCTTTGGCAGTGCTCTTTGCAATGCCCAGGAATGGTTCTGGTCCTATGAACACGGTTCCTCCTATGAACAAGGTTCCTCTTTTAGCAAGCGCGTCAGCTTTTACTTAGTTGAGAGTTTAAAGATATCTGTAAAATATTTCGCGTATTCCGAATTTTGATTTATTTCTTTTTTTTTTTATAAAAGACTTCAGTTTGATATTAATATTTTAACAGCAATAAATTAATCCGCGATATTTAAATGAACGTTCTGAAATTTTCTTTTGTTCCAAACCTGCAAAGTTTCATCAATATCATTGTTTCCGTTTTAATGATGTTTGCTTGGTTTTATATTTATATAAGTGGTAAATTGTAAATAATTCGAAGATGAAATGAAATTGGAGAAAAAATGGAGAATTGTTTAATTATAAAAATATCAACATTAAGAAATACATGTTTAAGTCAGTATTTAAAAAGATAATGCAATTTACTAGCTAGCATAGTCGAGATTTAGAAAAAAATACTGGGAAACACGAAGAGAGAATAAATATACTACAGATAAAAATATTGACAGTAGTGAAATGTAAGTGATAGGCTACATACAAACGAAGGAAAAAAATTGAAAATTCATCTAGATCAATGGGAAAAGAAAAGGAGAAGGTTCGGACAACTGTGTAATTAGGACTGGATCATATTATGATAGAATATGACACTAATGATTCATAGTTGTCAAAAATTTTAATGTGATAATTTCGTTTGACAACACCAAGCTTCAGGCGGGTTCGTATATTCAACTACCTTAACTTTTTTTTGCAATAGCAACATGGTTATTGTCTTTGTTCATTTATTGTAATTTAAATAAACATGACTATAAGAAACTATAGGATATTTAACTTACTTACCTGCTAATGTCTGATCTTCTTCTCCCTCCCTGTACGCCTGCCACCAATTACCATCTTCTTGGCTAATGATATGCAGTACATCACCCTTTTGGAATCCGATACCCAGTTCTCGACAAGGTATGTACATGTCTTCTTCAGGATCATAGTCAAAATGTGCCCTGACGTGAAGGAAGTTATCCCTGCAAATTATTAATAATTTTTTATTTTAAACCATGATTTTGGTCATTGATCAACTATTAAGCCTCATTACCTGTTATTGTGTCGTGGAACTTGTGAAGCGGGAATAATTAGGAAGGTCAGCGTGCCTTCCATCGTTTGCAAAATATCACAGACAGCATTGATGCTTTTTCCGCGCATCTCAATGCCGTTAACTTCAAGAATTTCGTCACCTTCGTGGAGAAGACCGCTTTTATCTGCTGCTCCACCACGAATTACCCTTCCTGAAAAGCAAAATACATATATGTTTTAGGGAAACAAATTATATTATGGAGAGATATTAATTGAGAAAAAATGAAAACTTACCTACTACTACGGCTTCTCCATCATTCTTCACCGTGGCACCTAATGGTTCAGTACTTTTTTCTATTTTTATAACCTTAATGTTATTCTCCCCATACCTACGATCTGTCATAGAGAGAGGCACCGTTTCAGCGGTAGATGGCGTGGGAGAAGTTGAATCAGTCGGTAACGCAGAAGTCACGCCATCGTGAGCAGCCATTAAGGCTTCAAATTCATAACCTAAAACAAATAAAATTGTAATTTTTCTCAAAATATATCGGTTAGATTAATATATTAATTTAATTTCTTACCAGTCAATAAGGCAACCAATTCCATGGCATAAGCGCTTTGAGAATGTCCAATTGTATCAAGGCAGTCCTTGAGGGCAGTCTGAGCGTTAGGCATTGGCCTAGGCGTGGTTCTTGACCTCACCGACTGAACTTTGTTATGGACAGCGAGGGCACGACCAAATTGGGGTGATAGAAGGAGGGACTGGATGGCAGCGATACGCCCTTCTAATCCACCAAGGCCCCCGCTTGAGCAAGCTTTCTTTAGTTGAAGTTGGAAGCGTTGGATGGATGCTACCAAGTCGCCGTAAGCTGAAAATGAAAATAAACTTGAGTTACTCAAGTGTGTTGGTATTAAATTAGCCATGACACTAAAGTATTTGATAAACTCGACAAAGAGAATTAGAGTAGGCAATACCTTTTCAACAGTGATAGTTTGTGGATACACCAAAACATCAAATTTACTTAAATAAGAGGATACAGAATCAGTAAGTACATGCTAAGAAAACTAAGGTTCTACAATACACAAGTGAATTCCACCTACAGCTACCATTAAAGATTGGAAGTGAGAATGACTATGGCTTCTTGACGGGTCCTAATAAGGACGAAACCGGTCTAAGAATGACGTTCTTCTTACTAAGCAAAATTAATGTTAAGAGTGTTGAAAATAATTTTTTATCTTTACTGTTTGGATATAATCCAAAGGAGCAGTTTTTTTTCTGGAGGGAAACAGTAGCTCTTATTTTTTCATCCAACAAGATTTTACTAACAGGACTTTATGATATTTTCGCACGAAGATAATAGGAATGTAGATACTAAAATGGTAATAAACATAAGCAGGGTTAAGCGACAGAAAACTTGATATATCCTAACAATGTATGTATTGAAGCCCTCCACGCACAAGTTCTTCAGAGGTTATTTTTAAGGGGTTGAGTTATATAGGGAGAGTATTATTATTATAATATAAAGAATAGAGTTTCTTGAATCATAAACATTTCAAATTTTTATTTGTCATTTCGAGGGGTAATTTATTAAACAATTCATCAAGTCACTTGTTATTTGAGTTGCCTATTAGTAGATTCAAATATATTTACGCGGATTTCGAGACCCAGTCACGATTGTAGATAGGGAAGACCTTTTGAAAAGGTCAGTGCGAAATAAAGCGTATCGAGAACCGGTAAAACTAAATTTTTGGTGCTAAACGTTTTTATCTGTAAAATTAAAATAAAAAACCTGTGGTAGGAAAAAGCCTGGGTCATCCCTTGGATACCGGAATTAATGAGAGCTCTCACGTCACCTCTAGATGTAGTTTGGGTAAGTGATTTGGTCTCAATCGTTTTTTTTTAACCGTTTTATTTTTTTAATCATTTTTTTTTAACTATTACTTAATGAGTACCAATTATACGTTCATAGAAGTGCAGGGTCACAAAAAGAAACTAAATTATGAATTAATATGTTAGGAATAGTTTGAAAGTTATGCCTACAGGTACGTTGAAAAATGATCCAGAGATTATAAAAATGGTTGTATAATAATTGTATATTGAGGAAAGAAGTAAGATATAAACAGGCTAAGAAAATGTGTTGACACACTAATAATCAAAAATGTAAGATCATACATGAGGCCAGACTAAGACTTAAAGAAAAAGTTGGGATGATGTAGGTTATTACCGTTATTTTAAATAATTGCATTTCATCGACTATCATAAAGTCATAAGTATGACTGCTAATTATTCTAGTGAAAAATACTTCCTGCAATTTGGTTGTTGTCAATTTCAAACTATTATCTATTTCCATTTTAAAGATTGGAATGCGAGTATCGCTTATTTTGCATTTTTTTTGTATAATTGATGAGGCAATAATCGTGAAGTAGTATCCTGAATCGAGCTTGCATAAAATCGTTTCGATAAACTGTAATTTCATTTATCTAGTAAAACCATTAAATTTGCAATTTGAAAAATTATGTATTTGTCCCGAACTTTTAATAAAATTTAAGCAGACTTGGATTAGCAGGTTCACTTATCTTGATTAATATCTGCAGTTAAGCCGTTCCGAGCGCGGTCAGTACTTGGATGTGTGACGATTTTACAAAGTTGCATATCATAGCCTATTAAAAGTCGCAAAACGCAACCTGCAATGATGTTTCTATATGAATTTGTCAATCGCAAATTAGGCCTAATGTCCTATGTTCGTATACCCCGTTGAATGCATCTGCTATATTTATTTGACTTACCGTACGACACATGGACGAGTTCCTTCTCTCCTCTTGGACCCGGAGTACTCGATCTGGAGGAGTCTTGAGCTTCATCTTCATAGGCATCGTTAACAGACCCATAGGGTTTATTTTCCAGTGCTTGTAGCTTTCGCGAACCACGCAGTGATCTATTGAGGAACTCATTTTGAGCGGCAAGCCGATCCTCCTCTTCTTTCCGTTTACGAATTTGTTCCTGAAACAAAAAGAGAAATTGTTAGGTTTTGTGTTGTGTAGTATGAAATTAAATAATTTTGTATTTTAATGAGTGTAGATTTATTGAAAAGTATCATTTCATCGCGTTCGGTTTTATATAACCATCATCGCTCAACTCATGGCCCAATTCTGGACCTTAGAGCCAAAGAGTATTAAGTCAATTTTACAAAATTTTACGTAAGTATTTTTTAAATTATAAATCATAAAAATACAACCCAAAAAAACTATAACCAATAAAATGTCCGGATCGGCATAAGGCGCCATATTGTTACCATTGCATTAAAGCGTCTGTCTACTAGGAGCTAGTACCACTTTATTTTGAATCTCTACTACAGAATGTCCCTTCAGTCGATTACGGGCCCCTGGCCCAGGATCAGATACGGCCCTCCCCTATTTTACAGTCGCGTGCTACATTATAATTGCATGCTTATTTTTTTAGCCATACTCTTTTTAGAAATAAAGGGTATAATATGGTATATGGTAACTATTTTATTGACGAAATTAAACTTTACTTATACTTATAAAATTATTTTACTTAAAAATGACCAAAGCAAGTACTTACATTAACATTTATTTAACACACTTAGATTAAAATAAAAATAGTTACAGAAAATTAAAATTAGGATCTACGAAAATCATAGAGACTGGCTACAAAATAAGTATACTTAATAATAGTCTTCCGAGCTTCCCTCTGACTAAAATGATCAATTACGTAGGAGAGGTCAAGAGTTTTATCAAAGTGATTTTCAATTGCTAAAAATTGCTAAATGGTTAAGACGACTGGCCTCTCGTGCTACTTTGCAAAGTTTTTAAAGAGTTCGCTAGTCTACTGAAAGCCTTTTTAGCCGTAGACACTGTTACTGGAAGAGTACAAAAAAAGTCTAATTGCAATAAACAGGTTAAAAAAATAGCTTGAAGGTTTTTCTCATATGGAGTTGAAAAGCTTCATTGGGTTCTTTTTTGATACTGTAGGCACTAGAGACGCTCTTCATATGTAGGATTCCTTCAAATCCAAAGTACTTTAGCCCTAGTATTTCTTATTAATGGAATTAATGTGGGTACCTTGTCCTCCAGGAGCAGGTCTAAAGATTTGAGGATCGAAGGATACAGTACTTCACAATCGGGTGCCCAGCTTATAGTCTTTCTCTCCAACGGGTTTTAGAATGACTTTGCAAAGACACAGGAACTATCAACGTTTTCAAAAAAATCATGAAAAAGTTTAGCAGCATTAGCTGTAAAATCTTCTAAAATTTCATTGGATAAAAAATATTCAACATGTTTCTAGTTTGCAAATTTAAATAATTAAAAAATAAATTGAGTAGGGTTGGGCCCGGCCCCTGGACCCAGATGTCCACTCAGTCACACCCTTATGGGACCATGCCCTGCTACCTTCACAGTATAGTATATAGCTTATTCATTTTCACTGCATAATAAGCTACTCGGTTACACTAAATTCTTCACCAATGGATCCGTGGGAGCTTCTATTGATTTAGGAATCGTAGTATTCTCCAGACCTTAACTACGTATTTTCAAGTAGGCTTCCTGATCGTGTACTCAAGTATGCACTGCAGTAATTATTGCAATTAACCATGCCTTGCAAATCATTTTAGAAAAATATATCTTAACTCAGTTAACTTGTCGGACTCCAAAGCTGCTTTACAAACACTAGGAAATTTTCTACAAAAAATGGTATTTTTTTAACTAAAAGACGAATCTTACTGGCAAATAAAAACAACATCTACATAACCTTAAAATTACTGTAGATATTAAAGAACATTTATTTATTTATTTGCAAGTGGTCTCTAAATTACATAAATCTTCGTGGTTTAATAGTTTACAAAATAATAGAAGGTACCACAGTGTTGCCAACCGGAGGGAAATTTCCCGTTTTGTAGGAATTTTTAATACAAAAGTGAAAAAAAGGAAAAAGTTAACTAAAAACGGGAATGTTTTACTCCAGTCTACAATGTGAAAAATGTATGATTTGAAAAATAAAATAAAATTTGTTGTTTGACGTATTTTTAAAGTATTGTTAAAAGATTTATGATACAAACTTGTATTTATGTTTTCTTTTAGAAGCTCCACAGGAATTGGTTTCAAAAATGATGCTGGTTTAGAAATTTCACAAACAAAGGTCCAGGATTTCATAAAGTGGGAATTTTGAAGATATGTGAAGGGAAAAATCTTACTTCAATGTTGTCAACACTGAGATACCACCTTTCCACAATTATAGGTACGTCTGAAAACTGGCTAAAATTGATCATCTACTTCAAATCGGAATTAAATTTTGCGAGTGTGGAGAAGTTGGATCACTTAATCATATCAATTTGGAGTGTCCCATCAATAAATCTTTCCAATTTGACCTTGATTTTTAATTAACGAAGGCTACTGTATCCGTCCTATTTAATACTAGTTATATTGTGTTGAATTTGGATCTAATTTTTGTATTATATTTAAAGTCAGCAACTAGTGACGAAGCAAACTACCGCAAATCAATTTTACCTGGGAAGAAGTTTCATAGCACAAAAAAAGAAATCATATAAGATATAATTAAAAATTTGATTCGTGTGAAGAATTGATAAATAATAGTAATCCACTAGATATTCCTTTATATTTAGATACAAAGAAACCGCAAATTTTAATAAAATGATCTGAAATCAGTTCAATTATAAATGAAGAGAAAATAAATTGTAAGGTGTTGTTGCTTAAAATTTTGTAGATTTTCTTTTATAGTGGGTTATAGAAACAAATATAGAGTACAGCAGTAATCTATGAAGGGTATTATAGGTTTATTTTCGAAAAACCAAAATTTTTAATACTTGAAATTTTCTGGAAAAATCAACCTCTAGAAATAAGGGGACGAAGACTATTGAGTTTGAAAAAACCTGATTACAAATGGAGGACGGGGGTTAAGGGGGATGAAAGTCAAAAAAATCATAAATCAAAAGCGAAAAACGATATCAACTTGAAATTTTTTGCTCTATAAGAAGACGAAACCTATTAAAAAAAATCATAAATCAAAAACGAGAAGCTATAACAAGAAGATTTTTAAGTAATAATGAAGTTCTACAAGGGGATGAAGTTTAACAATTCTGAAAAAAAATATAGGTGGTTAAGGGGGGTCTGTTAAACTGTGAAGAGTATAATATAAAATGCCAAGCATTATATCTTCATTCTAGTTAATTTACTGCTTTTTTGATTGCTAATTCACTGGGGAACAATCTGTAGCACAAATTCTGTCGAGTTCGATTTTTGAGCTGCTTTGGTGTTAAATGGGCATCAAAATTGTAGTAATTTTTCTTCTACCATGTCAATTTGTTTTCTCTACACCTTATGTGAATGTGACCACTCTATGCGGCATTGAGCGTGGATCATAGAAATGACCATTACTCTCCTATCGACTGACATAAACCTGAGCATAGAATTAAAATAAAAAATTGTCCAGCAACTTTTGAAGATATTCAAAATGCTTGGCTGCAACATGAGCATCAAAGTGAATTTTTTTATATTCATCTTGATAACTTTCTGAACAATTTTGGTGCAGTCAGTGGTGAGAAGGGTGAACGTTTCCATCAAGGTTTGAAGGTCATTGAGGTTCGGTACCAAGGTAGATGGTATGTACTTTGATGGTTGACTATTATTGAAGCATCAAGTGAGAATTTTCACAGAATAAACACTCCAGAAAAGGATATACGCGAAATATTTTGTAATATGTATGTTTAACGTTTGGTAAAAAAAAACTTTAAGTACTTTTTGTACGATCAACATTTAATTTGCAGTAACTATATTTATAGTCAGCGTATTAATAAAATTATTCTAGTGAACAGTATATTTGGTAATTTTTCATTTATTTTCCTTGATATGCATATTTCGTATAACTTTTGAGACAAAGAAAGGGGACCCTGTAGCTTAAAAAATTGACGTGATATACAAAAATTGAGGTTATTTTAAGATTCAGAGGCCAAAAGTTAGTTTAAAACAAGTGCCAGATCTAAGACAACTAAATTGTTGTGCCCCAGTATAATAGTATATAACATAACAAGTGTAGTAAAAAGCAAATTACAGCCGAATAGAAAAGTTGCGCACGAGCCGCGTTAGCGGCGCGTGCAGTAATTCTACGAGCATATAATTGCTCTTACAACTCGAGTAATGTACTATACTTTATCTTCAACCACAATCATACATTTTTAATAACGAGGTTTTACATAACATTTATTAAATAATTAAAAATATTGTAAATTGCAAATGCAACTACTAAATTAGCCGAAGAAAAATTATTTCAAATACCAACCTTTGTTAATATTATTGTGAATCAAGAGCTTCATTTAAATATTTACTTATTTCATCAAAATAATTTCTGTTTTTAAAAACCGTCTGACTGCTTTCAATTTTGGGTACGTTTCAAAATTCACTTTATTTTATATGGAAATGACGATTCTTGACATAGAATACATTGCCTAAAATGATGCAGGTTTGAATTGTTTCATAAATTCCCCAAAATATGCCAAAAGCACATTCTCAAAGACGTCAGTCCATAAGCTTTTGGTATATTATTTCATACCTTGTCCTTGATTTTAAAGGCTTTAACTTGTTAGTAATATTAGCACATTAGCAGTTTTTTCAAGAATATCAGGAGAAGTTCCTGGAAATTCATTTTTACTATCTGATAAACTCATTTTATTCTTTAAAAAAATAATTTTGTAACTACAACAATGGCGATTTTTCTATTTCTGAAATGTCAAAACTGTTTATCGTAACCATGGCGATCACCTAGCAACGGAAAAATATGGATAGTTTGATAAATGAAACTGTTATGTAATATACAGTATGGTTCAAATGAAAGGAATAAATTCATTATAATGGAAGTAGCTGGTTTTTCGAACTCGGACAGGTCAATTTTGTTTACTCAAAGCGAAATTTTTTAAATAGAATTCAATTTTCCCCCACTTCCCATTTTTGGGCAGTGACGTCATTGACAAT